TGTTGGGGATGGGGAAAGGATGTTAAACTAAATTTCTAAGACAACACAGTTGTAGATTTGAACGGAACGCTTCAATATGTAAATGAAAAATGCTTGCATAGTATTTGCTTATGCATGTAATACAAAGCCTTAGAATCGAAAATCTAAGGCTCAGACTTTAACAAGATCTCTGATCTAAATCTCATATCTATATATATTTAGACATATAGATATGAGAGATATACAGTCTAAAACAGTCCAATAAATAAGAGATCTGCACAGTCACATTACTAATCCTCAAACACCCAAAATTACATTAAAAACACTTAAAGGGCAAGAGTTAAAGTCTGTATGTTTGTACCTGTATTACATGATTCCAAAATTTTTCCCATTCTTCCCTAATTTCCTTTCTGAATAATTTTTATTACTGCTTAGATCTTTTAGTCAAACGAAAATCAAGTACACTGACAGACCAATTATATCATTTCCACATTGTAAAGGAGACAGAGTCAGCCCAAATCAGTCTCTCCCTTAAGCCTTCCCTTACCAGACAGGCCTACATACCACCAGTACCTACCATTCATTTGTTAATCATATATATAAGCCTTGCCACCTTTGTTTCTTTATTCTTGAAGCTGTCATCCCAAATTACTTAAATTTTATATTTTTTACTGAAATTGTCATAAGCATGTATATAGGTTGACAAACTTTTTCTGTAAAGAACCAGTAGTAAATATTTTAAGCTTTTGCCAGACATTTAGTCTCTGTTCCAACTAGTCAATCCTGCTATTGTAGTGCAAAAGCAGCCATAGACAACACCCAAAGGAATGGGTGTGGCTGTGTTCCAATAAAACTTATTTATGGGCCCTGAAATTCGAATCTCATTTAACTTTCACATATCACAAAATATTTTTTTTCCAACCATTTAAAAATGTAACCCATTCTTCACTTTAGGGCGATACAAGAACAGGTGGCAGACCAGATTTGGCTTGGCCTTTGAGCCAGTTTGCTGATTTTGATCCAGACTACCAAAATCCCATCAAGAACTCTGCATTCCCCACCAGGCCCCCAGCAGCAAGTATCTGTGGACTGATCCCATTTATCTCTTTCCTTCTATTCCAAGACTACAGTTTGTCTTTGAAATACCTAGGCATCTAATTAACATATCAAATCAAACAGGCTTAACTAATTGTTCCAAGGGTGATGTGAGAGCATACGCATTAATCAAGATTCTCTTTCTAAAAAGTAACAATCTGTAAATAAAGGTGTGTGTGCGGGAGGAGAGGGGGAAGGAGGAAGTCAGTGGCCCAGTACATTCACTGGTTTTTGGAGCCGAAACTCACAGCCCCCAAGGTTTTGCACCATAAGCAAGCAAAAGAAAAAAAAAGGGGGGGTGGGGGGATGAACTTGAGATTGTATCTCTTCAAAAGTCCCTTCCTAGGGGATGTTTCTTCACCAATACATTTCCCAGTGAAAAGAAAGAACACAACAGCAGCAGCTCAACACCTTTGTGGGGAAAGGCAGATAGCAAACACAAGCTACTTCAAAAAGTTCGTGGGAAGGTTCGTATTATCTTTTAGTTCTATTTTTCCGTGAACTTTTTAAAGTACCTTCATACAGACCTACCAACCCAAACTCTACAGTACATAAATCATTCCTCCAGAAGATGCATATTACATAATCTATACCTGCTGTCCAACTATGTTCTGAAATCACAGAAAAACAAAAAACTAATTTTATCAGGAAGAAACCAACCGTTTGGGGAAAAACGGAACCATCCAGTCCCAGAAATTAAACTTCAACATGAAATGACTCTCCAGGAATTTCTGTCCTGTGAAATTGTCCCTGGTCAGGCCTGTGCTTTGGTTGCTCTTTCACATTTACTGTGTATGTACGACAAGGTGATCAGTGAGACTGCACTAGCTTCAGATGTTGGGTAAAAGAAGCCCTAGAAGGCAGGACATTACCAGGCTGAGAAGCAACCATCCTATTGTTTAAAGACCCTAATATGTAGGATTGTTTTCTAGACTGTTCACCACCCCCACCCCCACGATGACAGTCTGCAATCATGAACTACCCAACACAGCTTTCCTGATTCATGACTCTAAAAGGAAAATGTTTAAAAGCTTTCCTCTTAAGAGAATGAGAGAGAGAGAGAGAGAGAGTGTGTGTGAGAGTCACTGGCACAGAAAGGACCAAACAACTGGGTTTCTGTGGCTCTGGGGTCTAGGCCGTGCAGGCCTCCATTCAACTGCCAAGGAACCGGCCAGGATGAATCAGTCTAGCAGCTGATGCAATGACAAGGAAGGGCAGTTCAAAGAGGCTTTCAAATAGCTACTTGAAACGTGTCTTATGAGCTTTATTTAAATTTGATAGGAAGGCCACAAAATAGTTCTTTCAAGCTCCAAAATCTCCCTTCTGATCTGCCAATCTTGAGAAAAGAAAAGGGAAGCTATGAGGAACAAGTGGCATCTTCGTCACTGAGCATGACACAGCTGTGTGCCACATACGAGTTCTCCAATATATAAACATGTCTGTTCCCAAGCAGTTCCTGCCCAGAACACGGCAAAATGCAGCCCAGGGCAGGTATTATCGAATTCTCAGCAGGGTAGGCACAGAGTAGAGCTCTCACTTTTAAGCAAAAACAAATCAAAATAAGCTAGTATCATTTTACCTATAATCCAGCTCCATGACGAGGTCTATTACCAGAATGAATTGACTTCCCTCACTAGGCAACCTGTGAAGAAGTTTCTCAAACAATAAAATACAGTAACTGTGAAGAGGAGGTGGTCATAATCAGCTCAAAAATGAGGTAATTGGATAACTGAAAGCTGGCTCTATCTGCCACTGTAGGGTGACAGTGTCAGACATTGGAAGAGAGCAACCACATAAAAAAGACATCCCTTCTCCATACAGCAGCGAGTATTTTTAAAAAGGAAGTCAAAGCACAATCCCTCTGCTCAAAGCCCTGTGTTGTGGGTTGAATTGTGTCCCTCAAAAAGATACGTTAGTCCTAACTCTTGGTACCTGCGAATGTGACCAATATTTGGCAATAGTGTCTTTGGAGATGAAGTCATACTGGATTATTAGAGTGGGCCCTAAATTCAATAATTGGTGTCTTTTTTTTTTTAAAGATGACCGGTAAGGGGGTGGAGCACTGCTACAGTGCGCCGCTTGGGAACGTGGCGGCGCTCCCGCCGAGGGTTCGGATCCCACATACAGACCGGTTCCTGCTCACTGGCGGAGCAAGGTGTGGGTGCAACACTGAGGGTTGCGATCCCGTTGCCGGTCCCGGTCCGGTACGGGCGCGACACTGAGGGTTGCGATTCGTTGCCAGACACGAAAAAAAGACAAAAAGGAAAAAAAAAAAGAAGTAAAGTATCCCTGATATTTTACACACACACACACACACACACACACACACACACACACACACACACACACTTGAGCAAACCGGCCATCTGTATATGGGATCCGAACCCGTGGCCTTGGTGTTATCAGCACCGCACTCTCCCGAGTGAGCCACGGGCCGGCCTTCAATAATTGGTGTCTTTTTAAGAAGACCATGTGAACACACAGACACACAGGGAGAAGACTGTCACGTGATGAGGAAAGACTGGAGTTATGCTGCCACAAGCTGGAGAACACCAAGGCCTGCCAACAACCACCAGATGTGAAGAGGCAAGGAAGGAGTCTTCCTAAAGCCTTCGTAGGGAGCGTGGATCTGCCAGCACCTGGACTTAGAACTTGTCGTTCTGGTTTCAGTTTTCCAGGACTGTGAAAGAATAAACTGTTGTTTTATGTAACTCAGTTTGTGGTACTTAGTTATGCCAGCCCTAGGAAGGGCTTTCCATATCTGAAAGAAAACCAGATCATCACAATATGATCTAGACCTCCTCTTGTCTCACTGACTTCACCCACTCCAGCCACACTGGCCTCCTCACTGGTCCTCAAACATGCCATGAATTCTCACACCACAGGGCCTGGTCCCAATGTAGGATGGCCCTGCCTGTGACCTATGTAGATGCCATTACCTCTGCAGGAAGGGTTCTTTCCACAGGAATCTGCAAGGCTTGCTCTTTCAATCCTCCTTCAGGTCTCTTCTTAAGTCACCTTACCAGTAATACCCCCCCCCACAACTACCCTTCAGCATTCTCTATTCCTCCCGCATATTCCCTATTTCCCCTCCTCCTGCTTTATCTTTCTCCATAGTACCTAACACAAACCAACATGTATATTTTGCTCATCGTTTAAAAGATTCATCTCCCTCAATAAAGTTAGCTCAGTTGGAGCAGGACTTCACTGCTGAATCACAGTGCACTCCGCTGAATGAACAAATGAATCCATTAGGACAGGTGAGATTTTACTCAAAACTGGCATGTGACAAAAAAGATTTCCACTAATCAATAAGAGAGCAGAAGCTTCTGTAGATGAAGGGCAGCTCAACGTTGAGTTCTGAGGGGCTAGGAGAGAATATGTGTGCCAGGTTCCCTTAGGTAGACTGAAGGGCTCACCACCATTCCTGCGTGGCAGAGGGAGAGGTAAGCAGTTCTGAAACAGCCTCTTAAGAGTCCTCCTAACCAAAAATATGTCAACTCTTACCTACAATTTTTGTCTCCAGTCAGAGCCCAGTAGAAGCAACTTAGCCTGAGGAATTTGTGAAGCCAGAGCCAAACATAACCCCACCACTGCATTACTACACATATTTTTATTTTTTAAGGGCTGAGAAGGGCCCAACAGGAATGTCTGATAAAGATAATCTCATACTGCAAATGCACAAACTTTACTCAGGGGAAAAAAAAGCCTTTAATCATTACATTCCCAAAAAAAAAAAAAAAAAAAAAAAAACAGAAACAAAAATTCTTTCAAATATGCCAGGAGCTTTAAAACAGCTCTGGGTAGGAAGACAATCCAAGCCCAAACCCTTTACGTGGCCCTAAATTCACACTTCTTCCCTTTTTTCACTTACATTTTTCATAACTTTAAAACAAAAGAGGCAGAAAATGAAAGTTTTTCTTTACCTTGGATTTTGGCCCCAGGTCCTGCCAATCCTACTGACGAATCACAGGATTCCTTGAGAGGTGATCTGATCGGTGTTTCAGCTTCAGGGGTCTCAAAATTACCATCAGAATCCGAGCTGCCAAGGGGGAAAAATGAGGAATTACCACTTTCAAAGGTATTTCTGACACTTTAAAAAATCTATATATCCATAATGGCTAAAGTCTAGCACTGTTGTCTAACTTTGCAACCAGCTGATCCTCAGCACAGACTGGCTTGGGGGAGGCTGCTGCGGTTTTTGAGCAGTGCCCTCCTTGTGTTTCTCAGCCTGGCATCCTGTCTCCCTGAAATCTCCTCCATCTTTTCTGGGGCTTTTCTCCAACACAGTTTATTTTTGAGGTCATCCTTCCCTCTGACACCTGAAAAAAGCGCTTTCCAATAGACTCCTTTTCTCACGAGAGCCCTTTCCCAGAGGTTTAAGAATTAACATCGCCCCACCCCCAAATTAAGCCAATTTTAGCCATTCCTTTCTCCTCGGTAGGCCTCTACCTGTTTGGAACTCACTCGGCCCGAGGCCAAGAATGCTGTCACCTGCCTTCCGCAATCACAAGGGTGACAGCTCAGCAGAGACCACCATTTCTCACCAGCTGCCAGGGGCCTGTCGACATGCGACCATTTTTACCATGGCTGTATTTTCGGGACACAGTGAGACACCGGGAGGGCCAGGGAGCGACTCTAAGTTCCATCGGGTGTGACCAGTGACACTACCCTGTGTGTGTCTGTGTGTCGTGGCGAGGGCTGGGGGATCGAAGCGCAGAGAAAGCGAAGAGGCAAACGGGGATGCGAAGAGACTGCGGATTCTGGGTTGGGTTCAGAGGGCTCCCTGCGACACGGGGGACAGACATCCCGAAGTTTCGGGTGCGCAGCGGGGACGTGGTTAGCGGCAGGGACGCAGCACTAACACGGGTCAGGCCACGCGGGTGGGCGGCCACACACGCACACAGAAGGAGCCGCGGATGGCAGCACGTCCGCGCCCCGGCGGGGATGCCGTGTACTTGCCTGAAACTCAAAGACTTGGTCTCGGCTTGCGAGTCATCCTCCTCGGGGTCGCCCTCGGGCCCTCCGGCCTCGTCCTCTCCGGCGCCCCCGCCGCGCACCGCAGACCACGTCCATTTCGCCCACTGCACGGGGGACAGGATCTGCCAAGGGCTGAACGCCATGTCGCGGCGCCTCCGGCTGCGGCTCCTGCGGCAGGGCCGGGGGACAGCCTCTTCACTTCCAAAATGGAGGGGCCGGTGACAGGCGCTGGCGCGCGGCGGCGGGGGCGCGGCTGTGGTAAAGCGCGCGCCGTCGGGGCCCGGCTGGGGCGCTTCCTCTCGCCGGCGGGCGGCACCGCCCCTCCGCGTCCTCCTGCCCAAGGCGTGCGGCCGCGGCGGCCCTCGCCC